GGGATTTGAGTATATCAAGGAACTATACCTTGAGGACGATGATCTAAAAGACAGCTACAATGGTTGCAAAAAATGGAGGACAAGGCAAATTTTACATCTACGAAGGCTTTCTATTCCGTGAGAAGAGGCTTTGCATCCCCCACTGCTCTCTTAGAGACTTGATCGTTCGGGAAGCTCACGGTGGAGGACTTATGGGCCACTTTGGCGTGGATAAAACACTAGCCATCGCCAAGGAACACTTTTACTGGCCACATCTCAAGAAGACCGTAGAAGCTCATTGTGCTAGGTGCGTGACGTGCAAGAAAGCCAAGTCTAAAGTACACCCTCACGGGTTATACTTACCTCTACCCATCCCCACGGCACCTTGGGTAGACATCTCCATGGATTTCGTACTTGGGCTACCAAAGATTCGCGGCAAGGATTCCATATTCGTGGTAGTAGACCGCTTCTCAAAGATGGCACATTTCGTACCAAGCGCCAAGGTGAATGATGCTTCTCAAACGGCTGACTTGTTCTTCAAGGAGATAGTAAGGCTACATGGGGTACCGAGAACCATCGTATCAGATAGAGATAGCAAGTTTCTCAGCCATTTCTGGAGAACCTTGTGGAAGAAGCTAGGGACAAAGCTCTTACTCTCTACAACTTGTCACCCCCAAACGGATGGGCAAACAGAGGTAGTCAATCGGACCTTATCAGCTTTGTTAAGAGCTACTATTGGGAGGAACATGAAGAATTGGCTTGAGTGTATACCATTCATAGAGTTCACTTACAACCGGGCACAACACTCAGCCACCAAGATGTCCCCTTTTGAGATAGTCTACGGATTCAACCCTACCACGCCTCTAGACTTAACACCATTGCCACCAGCCGAAGCAGTAAGTTTAGTAGGAGAGGAGAAAACAGCGTTTATCAAGAAGTTGCATCAAAAGGCTAAAGAAAACTTGGAAAAGAGGACCGAGCAGTATACATAGCACGCCAACAAGGGACGAAAAGAAGTTGTGTTTACACCAGGAGAATGGGTTTGGCTACACATAAGGCAGGAAAGGTTTCCAAAACAACGAAGCTAAAAGCTAAAACCAAGAGGAGATGGCCCATTCAAGATTCTAGAGAAGATCAATGACAACGCCTACCGCCTTGAACTTCCAGGTGAGTTTAATGTATCTTCTACCTTTAACGTTTCTGATTTGAGGTCAAAACCTATTCAAGAGGGAGGAAATGATGAAGATATACAAGAAGAATCGGACTTAACCGAGCTCCAAGTGATAGAAGTGCCAACCAGAGCTATAACTAGAGAAAGAGCAAGAGTGTTACAACATAAATATAATCAAGCCATCTCATTAGCTATTATTCAGGCGGATCATAAAGACTTCACTACGACAACACAAGCTTATAGTGGACTACTTGAAGATAGAGATACCGGCCCAACTTCAACCAACCAAGAGAGCTGGCCAATCCTCCTAAGTCAAGGCCTCTACAACATGCTCACGATCACACAAGAAGCCCAAGAACAGAGTTACTGAAAGGAAAGGATCCACCACGGTTATAAACATCAAAAGGAGAATTACTACTTACATTAAAACCAAACCGTGGACAAGCCAACAAAGAAGGTAAGTGTTGACTGAATTATATCAATTATATTTTGACTACTCAAGTTATTATTTCTTTGGTGATTGCAGCATAAAACTTAGTCGTTGATTTTGATTACATTTATATTAATTTATGTTAATAATAAAGGCAAATGTTAGCCTGATTTTCTTGTATTTTATTTCATGTAATTTGTTTCCAAAGACCCCAAGAAGAGCATAGCTGTTCGGACTAGTTTATAAAGTACCCTCTCACAGCAGTGTATTTTTTCAACTTTGATTAATAAAAATAACGAATTTTCTTCATAAGATTATTACTAGAATCTTGTGTTCTTTCTCTTGTTTTTGTCGAGACCAATACCTCCAAAATTATAGAGAGGTTTAGTGTTGTATCAAAGGAGTTTCCATTGCCTTTGTGGTACACATCGATCCCCACGGTTCAATCTTTTCATCACGTTCAATCCCGGTCAAATCGCCCGAGTATCTCGGTTGTTCGGCCAAAACACTCGTACCGACCGTCCCGTTTGTACCACTCGTCCCATCCAGTCATCCGATCCGTTCAGTCACTCGTACCGTCTGATTAGATTATCCCCACTCGACTGTCCCGTTTGCCCCACGTCCCCGTATCGTGCCTTGTGCCTTGAGTATCTCGGCTGCAAGACATCCCCACCGTCTGTCCATCCCACCCTAGACTGATCGAGCCATACTCGTACCAAAGGTTACATTAGACCGGACATCACTCCGAGCTTGTATCATCGTGTCAGTTATTATTAAATTTCCAACAAAAGATAAGTTATAACATATTTTCGTATGAAATTGGTAGAAAACAGTTATTATTAACCAACTTACTACGGTATTTTCCATAGAAAATGGTGTTATTTTCTTGTAGTGAGCGGTTTTACTGCAACACCTAAATTGTAATAAATTTGTAACATTTTATTACAATCTTATTACAAATTTATTGTGTTAAATATTGTTACAATCACAGTGTAACAAAGTTGTAGCATATATGCGACAACCCCAAAGCTGTTTCTAATTTGTCTCTAATTAGCTACGGGGTTCTACTAATTTCCATAAAAATAAAATTTTACAAAACGTCACAAATTTGTATCGATTTGTAATTTTGCTATAATTTGTTGACATGGTAAATTTTATAGCTATACAACTCAATTCTTGTAGTAAATTAAAAAATCTATTGAAATTGAGCTTGAGATTTGATTATTGTATTAACTCTCCTTTTAATACATAGCCATATATAAATTCAAGCAATGTTTTGTAGATACCTCCAGATATCATTAGGAGGAATAAAACATCAAAATTAGTTTTTAGAAAAGAACGACATCTAATTATCGTTGTATCATCCATATTTTTTCCAACCAAATTTTATCAGTTTTGGGGTGAATCCAAATCATAAAGTGTATATATATGAAAGTTTTCCTACAAAGACTTTCTTGGAATATTCACAGAAATAGTTTCATATATGAGGTTTCCAAAGTTGCATAAAGGTAATTAATATATTTTTCCAATACATTCACGAAATGGTTTTTGTACTTTTACAGCGTGAATTTTTTTATTATACTACTTCATTCTCCATTAAATAATTTTGCTTTTTTAATAACAGGAGAACCAAGGACAATGAAAAACTAAGGAAAACTTCAAAATATGTTAAATAAGTATAACTGTCATGTGATAACATTTCAAACACGCTGAGATAAATTAAAAGTTGCTGCTCATATTAAGAATCTCATAATGGTGTTGTCATGTGATAGGGTATCTGATTGACGGACTAACAACCTTCCTACGAAAAACGAGGTTGCCGCTTTGATAGCTAATGCTTTTAATATAGGAGTAGACACAAGTGATATAATTTTAGAGACTAAATCAGGGAAGTTGATGTGTATTAGCGAGTTACATCCAGCTTATTTACCCCTACAGTACACAATCGATAAAGTCCTTATTATATTATTTATTTTTTCTTTCTCTTTTGCTTCTTCATTTTCTCTTTCCTCTTTCCTTTTTGCTTTTTCACGGATTCTTCATATGACAAAGATAAATATTAATAGTGGATTATCGATGATGGTGGTAATAGCGCACCGGAGGTGATGGCGATACCGGTGGTGATGGTGATAGTTGTGATGCTAATGGTAGTGTTGATGGTGGCGATGTCGGTGGTGGTGGTGATTGTGGTGGTAGTGGTGTTGGTGATGGCGGGCCAGTGGTGATGGAAGTGATGGCGATGCCGGCGGTGGTGGTGGTGGTGGTGGTGGTGGTAGTGTCGGTGATGGCCATGGTGGTGGTAGTGTCGGTGGTGGTGATTGTGGGTATAGGTGGTGGTGGTGGTGATGGGATAAAAGATGGTGATATCAACGTTAACACGATAGTTATCATGCTCATAACGTTAGTATAATAAGTTTTTGATATAATAATATTGTTAACATGATAATTTTGCATAGCTTATACACTTAACAAAATTAACTCCTATTTTTAATGAAATAATAGCAACATTAACATGATAACTCGATATTTGTACAATATGTTAATCGAGCATCATATTAGTTAACATAGTTAACACATTTATTACAATATTATATTAGTTAGCATGGTTATCGAATTGTTATCCATCAAAATTGCATTATATAATTATAAAGACAAAATAATCATAATTTTTTTGTATATATATTAATCTAATTTTTTGTTATTAGCTCTATTTTCTAAGTTTATTATTATCTATTAAATTTTTCCAAAAATAAACTATAGAAAGAAAAAATTTGAATACAAATAAACAGTTAAGTTAAAAACATATATAATAATAATTCTTATTGCACTATGGAATTGTTTTAACAATTAATTGTTTTGAGATGGTCTTAGTTACACGGGCCAAACTTTGGTGGGCCGACCCTAAACGGATCTAAGAAGCATGTGTGATCGAAAGCTGTGTTGGCATGCTTGGCCTGTATCAAAGCTAAACATCTTACAAACAAACAGTTACATCTATATGCCCCCTCACATAGATTATTTGTTTTTGTTAACTCACATAGATTATTTTTGTTACTAAATTACATCGAAAACTAATGTAATTTATTTACTCTTATATCAATTATACATGTTACAAAAGTGACCGAACACAAATTTATTTTAAAAATAGAGAATAAAAAATACAAATAGAGGACTTTTTGAACAAGATATGGCAATAAAAAAAAATTATTAACTTAAAAATTTTACTTTCTTATCCACTGAAAAATTACTAAAAAACTTAAGAAAATAAAGTATTTTTTCTTTATGATTAGGAAATTTTAAATTTTTGATCAAACCTAGACATTATCAAAATTTGGAACCAGAATGTAATATAGTTACGCCCCAATTGTGACTCAGTTCTACAATCTCCTTGAGAGTGAGAGTTATGAGTTTGCTAGCAATGTAAAAAAGAAAAACAATCTATAGCGTTCTTGTTTAAATCATAGATATGTTTAAGTTTTATATTAAGCTTAAATCCAAATCTATACTCGAATTAGGACTTTCACAAAACCCATTTTTCCTTTTTCTCAGTAACCGAACCGGTAAAATAAACATTTACAATTTTATACTTACACTGACACATCAAACCTCTGTATCTACACTCGTCATCTTCTTTTCGCCACTATTTTAAGTTTGTATCTTCCGTACAACTGCTACAAGCGATCACCGTCTTCAAACTCTGTTACTCCAAGCATCGCAAGAGCAAAATGACTCTTCATCTCAGATTTTGTCCGTTGCAACTGCGGGTAACAGTCGATTAAACCCGCAAGATTTGATAATTTCCGGCTTGAAAACGTCCTTAGCTCTATTTTTCCTTCATCGCCTTTCAAGATTGAAAGAATCTCCTTCATCGCGGGTCTTCTTGACTCCTCATTGGTCACACAAGCTGCTGCAGCTCGAATCATACGATCCATCAAAGCCGAGTTTTTTCTTGTACAAGTCAGCCTTGGATCAAGAAACTCCTCTATTGCTTCCATCCCTCTATGCAACAATGGCTTCGCCTGCAAGAAATGGTTTATAAGACACTTGACCAACCCTGTTTAGTCAAAAATACAGATTCTGGTACATAAGTCTAAACCGTGTACAGTTTAAAAAGGTTGATCCTTAAACAAGAATCTGTATATAGTTCAACCGAGTTTGACCTAAACCCGAATTTAGCAAGTCTAGTCATAGATTAAATGACATTTATTGGTTGGAAATTAGTATTTCCTTTCCATTCCTAGAAAACTAGTAATGGGACTAGTGGATGAAATTTTAAGTTGATACAAGCCTACAACTACTAAAAGTCAAAAAGGTTGGTTTACTAGTAGTTATAAGATAACACTTACCCAAACTACCAAATTTTCTTCACCAGATGGTCTTCTTGATTCAATTGGCTTACGACCTGTTATTAGCTCAAGTAACACGACTCCGAATGCGTAAACATCGGTCTTATCAGATATCTTGCCGTGTTGGAAATACTCAGGAGCCAAATAACTGCAAGAAGTTCCAAATTGGTGCATGGACATTTCTTAGATCCATAGGAATATGAGTTTTTGACATCAATAGGGTTTTCAAGATTTATACCCGAAAGTGCCTTTAACGGTCTTACAGAGAAAAGGAACCGAAGGAGCAGCTGTCCAAGTTGCTAACCCAAAATCACACAACTGTAAGAACCCGAACAAGTTGCGGTTAAACAGAACAACACCTTTAAGCTGAATCAATAACCAAAAAGTGGTTCAAGTCTCATTACCTTTGGCTTTTTGTTTGAGGAAAGAAGAATATTTGAGGGTTTAATGTCTCTATGCACAACACATTGGTCAGTGCCATTATGTAAATAGGCTATGGCCTCCGCAACGCCTAAGGCAATCTTGTACCTTGCTGACCAAGGAAGATATAAGGAGGAGACATTCACACCATTTTTCTTCTTTTTCTTATCTAAATTCGATAAAGCGAGTTAAAACCTCGCCAGTATCTGCACAAATTGCTATCCAATGATCAAGGAAAGAGAGGAGATCTGCTGAATTTTTTAATTACCGTGTAAATAGTGTTCGAGGCTACCACCAGAGACAAACTTATACACCAAGAAAAACCCTTGTTCAGGGTCGATACAGAACCCTAGAAGAGGGACAATGTTAGGGTTGTTAAGAGAGCTTGCAATCATCAACTCTCTGCAAAACGACTTTGGAGATTCTTTGTCTTCTTTGTCAAGTCTCTTAATGGCCAAAGCTTTACGCCAAATCCCCATTGTGCCCCTAAACACATAGCTGCAAGCTCCTCTTCCCAACACTCTCCCTAACCAAATTACAACAAAGGTTCAAAAACCGGATAAACCAAAATTATCTATTTGAAAACAAATCATTTTTAGTCTTAATAAATTCATTTTTTTCTATATCCGAAAGTAAAATTATCAATCTAAAACCTTTAATTTCCAAATACATTTGACTGAAGCCCTGAATCCGAACAGAAATCAAAACCATACCAAATCATCCAAATCTTAGTTCGAATAATATTATCCATAAACCGAAAATCCACTATGAAAATCAATCGAAACCGAACCAAAATCCGGATTGAACACATAATAAGGATCTAATTAGCTCTAAATTCAGCAAAAGTAATGCTAATGGACATGGAGGACATTTTTTGGTGCCGGGTTTAGATTTTTACCGTTTGAGAAATTGCCAGTTGCTGTGACAATTTCACTGAAACTAAACCGGATCAAAGAATTAGCCACCGGAGAAATACTTTTCTCTAACGAAATAGCCCTCGACCAATTCATCTCATCCGTTGATTTCTCTGTCTCCTTGCCATCATTCTCCAAATTCACCAACAGAACCGTCGCCGATCCTTCAGACACGGAGAAATTCCGACAGGAAGACGATGACGGTACCTCCCTTTTAATCTTCTCCAGCTCAACCTGCGAGCAAAGACTAAACCTAAATGACGAGTGGACTGAATATGGGTCTGAGTCCATAAGCTTCGGTCCTGTTTCCTCCAAAAGCCAAGCTTTGTTGTGTTCTTGAGAGCTCGCTTTGGTTCGAGGAGAAAGGAAACAAGCGAAACCCATATCAAGAAAGCTTTCTTTTCTTTCAAATGGGTTTCGATTACTGAATAGATCTAAAGAAGATCACAAATCAAATACCCAGAAATTAAACAAGAAGAGAGGAAAAAGGCAGAAAGAAAGTGACAACAAGAATTCTCTTTTATTTTTTTTTATAAGAAAAGGGAAAAGCGGATTCTTTGAAGCTTTATAAATCAAAAAAGATTTTCAAGAAGAAGAAGATGAATTTAATCGTCAAATGTATTGATTGTTGTTGTTGGTGTGATGTTGGAGGAAGAAAAAGAGCGGAGGGGGGAAGATAATTGTGAATAAATTAATTATTTTGAATCATTGTTAGGATTACAGTTGGAGAAGATAATTGGGTATAATCAATTGTTTGAATAATTGTTAGGAGTTTTAGTTCTTATTGATATAGAAAGATTAGTTGGTAAAGCTGTTGTTAAATGCTCAAAGAGGGAGCCCACGACCACAAGATGAAGAGGGTCTGAATAGATTATGGAAAATTTAGTTTGAGTCATTTTTTTCTTTTCTCCAAAATACTTTTAAAGCAAAACAAAAGTAAGTTTAAAATGATTTTGATTACTTTACACTTTTATATGTTGATATGTTCATCACCACACTCACCCTCTTTCATTCGTTACTTCTCTCTTTCTTGATGTGTTGGACCATAAAGATTTATTAAAGCCTATCAAAATATGAGTTTTGTAATAGAAGATGATGGAAAAAGGTAGACCAAGAATATCATTACGTTTTAAGCTTGTATACAAAGGTAGTAGGATGAAACTTATTTTCTTGCACAATCAGTTTCATGGATATATATATATATATATATATGTATGATAACACAATTTTAATTTTTATAAAACTATTTCATGTATTAACAACACATCAAACCAAATAATATTCTAGAAATCGAATATACAAACCAAAGTGTCACACAATTTTTAATGATATTAGGATAAATAGAAGTTAATGGGCCATGAGGCCTTAATTTTTAGAGAGTAAGTAAAAGATATTATATGATATCAGAGCTTCTAACTCAAAATTAATTGACAATAAGTGGATTGGTTCAAATTCTTTATATATTAGTCAATGTTTTTCTCAACTTCCGATATGGATATATTTTACATACTCTCTAAAGATTAAGGTCCATAATAGTTTTTTTAACCATTAATCTCGCCATGATTATCAATTTCTGGTCGAGCGGTCAGTGCCACTTTTCTGGAATAGATGACGAGAGTGTATGAATCGGACTCTGATATCATATTAAGTATCCAGAGCTTTCAACCCAAAATTAATTGATAATGAGTCGATTGGCTTAAGTTCCTTATATATCAGTCGAGATCTCTCTCAACTTCTGATATGGGACATATTTGACATACTCTCTAAAGATTAAAGCCTTATGGTCCATTAACCTCTACTTATTCTTATAAATAATTTTCTAAGATTTACAAAACAAAAACTGACTTAGTTTTTACGGTAAACTTCAATATTGTCTGATCCATTAAATACCCTAACCCAAAGAAAAAATTGAATTTTTTTGGGGCGACGATTTCCTCGTCAAGAAACGTCTTGTACTGCTGTCTGAAATCTAGATTTATATGTTTGTCAAATTGATTATTTAGTTCACAGTTATCTCAAATGCGACTAAATCTACTAAATAATTTAATTTTATTAACTAAGACCGGCGTCCTTTTAACACGGGATCCCCTTTGACTGAGTTTGGGCTTTTCATTTATTGGTTTAAATTTCTATCTCACTGATTTTGAGCCTTTGGGTTAGTGGGCTTTCTGGTCTGTATCTTCTCGGTCCATAATGATCTTAAACGAATAATATATAAACTAAGAACAAATATCTTGCTTTATAATATAGTTAATTTTCCGACAAAAATAAATTCCGGCAAAAAAGGTTTTATTTATCGATTGAAAAATTTAGTTAAAACTTATATATTTTATTATATAAAATTTGATACATCAAAGTCAAGTAATTCATATGATTGTGACACGTGGTGAATCATGCGATTTAGATTTTGACACGTGTCGCGATTAAATTAAAAATAAATATAAATATAAAAAATATCACTATTTAAAAAAAATATAACCACTACAATATCTAAAGAAAATAAACAAATTAAAAAATAAAAATAATAATATTTCAATTAAAAAAATGAAACCATTTTTTCAAAAAAGTAAAAAATAAAAAAAAATGTTACTCATATCTTTATAAACATATAAACGCTTTTATAATTTTATTAGGCTGATTTTTCTCTTAGACTCGAATCAAACGAATAAGATGAGAAACTGATGAATCAATGAAAAATAATCAGAATTATATAAGCAAAATAAAGGAGAAAGTCATAAATTTGCTTTGAAATATGTAGCAAATTTTATGTGTTAGTAATTCACATGATTATGACACATGTCATATATTTCGATTGAGATTTTGACACGTGTCGCGATTAAATTAAAAATAAAACATAAATTTAAGAAATATCATAATTATTATAAAAAAATATTAAAATTAATGAAGCGACAAAAAACAATCAGAATTGTGTAAGCAAAATGAAGGAGAAAGCCTATTTATCTTTGATATCATTTTACCAAAGGAGATTCTCGATGAGGGTCTGTTAGAAAAAAATCATATTTGTAAAAAAATATAAAAGTGAATACGGAATAAAAGAGAATGCCAGTTTTTTAATCAGTTTTAGTATAAGTTATTTTGCAAAAATATTCTCAATCTTATTTTTTTTATGTTCATAGTGATCTAATTTTGTTTTATACTTTTTCATATTCATTTATATTTGTAAAAAATATAAAAGTAAACATGGAATGAAGGAGAAAGCTAGTTTCTTTAATCATTTCTATTATAAGTAGTTTTGAAAAATGTTTTCAATCTTACTTTTTATAATGTTCACAATGATATAATTTTGTTTTTTGCTTTTTCATGTTGGTCATGTGTATGAAAAATATAAAAGTAAATATGAAACGAAAGAGAAAACCAGTTTTTTCAATCAGTTCTATTATATATGGTTTTGCGAAAATTGTTCTTAATCTTCATTTTTAATATTCACAATGATATTGATCTATTTTTGTATTTTACTTTTTCATATTATGTAATAGTTAATATAAATCAGGATATATAGAACTCATAGTTTAAATGATTGAAATATATATATGAGTCGATTAATCAAAATTTACCATGTGTAATAAATATTTTAACTAACAAAAAAATCGAATATGAATACAGAAATAAATATAATTAAAACTATTTATTTTTAATTTTAATTTATTATTTACAAACTTTAAAATAATTTTCAAATCCGTATATACATGAGTCCTAATCTAGTTAATACATGATTTACAATTTTACATAGTTAAATGGATTAATGATAACCGGTTTGGTTGGTTGGGAATATTTATCTCAAACAATAAGCAAGAAAGAAAGAAGAATCCCAATCAAAATTCCAAAACATTAATTTCGGTACGAAAAAAAAAATCATTCCAACTTCTAACTATTTTCACCTTATATATGAATGGCTCGGAAAAGTTGATCTAGAAAGACTATAGTGACTGTGAAGAAGATAAACAAAAAATACATATGTGAGTATATTACTCCAAAGTCGACGTGTCGGCAAAGGAAATGAAAGTAAGAAGCAGCTTCGGATGAAAAGAATCATCGAAACAAAATAAAAATACAAAAATGAAGCATGAAATATAAAAATTGATCATATATAGTATAGGGGAATCAAAAAGACGTGGATTAGCGGAAGATACGGCGATGCTTTTGCTTCTTTGTTCTATGGTTCTCTTAATTAATAATTATTTTGTGGTTATATAAGTCTGAGTCCATTAATTTCACCTTACTGCCAGCTAACAATCCCGATGAGTTACTCATAAATATTGTAATACAACATTTTAATTTACATTCATTCATTTTTAAATCGCTCCAAAAGATAATGATTTATATGATATGAGATCACTTTTCCCCGACATCAAGATTTTTTTCTATGCCTAATTTTAATTTAGTTCCTAAGTTTACAGTGTTGATCAAGTGTAGTATTTTACAGTGGTCAATTGTATTTGATAACAATTTACTTCCAAAACGCTAACTAATATAACTTTTTCTTACATATATAGTAACTTCAAGTTTTTTTCACACCAGATTTTAATGGTTAAAATTTGGAATACTGTCCCGGATTTGAAATAGAAACAACAATATGTGAATTATGACCTGTTGACAAAAAAAATCATGAATTTAAAAATTATAATAGCTTGGGTTTTCAAAATCTATTTAAGAATGACTTTAACCCCAAAATAACTTCATCTGTAGAAAAGTGAAGGTCATTATCCCAAAGTGTAATAACAAACCATGCATAAAATGTGTTGGTCGAAAAACTTACCATTTTTGGATAAATGGATCTATAATGATCTTGAAAGAACAGAAAATTGTGAGAATCCATATACAAAGACAGTAAAAACACTTCATGCATGGGTTAAGACGATGACTCCAAACATAACAAATACTTTTAGTGACCCTAGGAAGTATATACGCTTTAAGTATGCAGCTGCAATATTGCTTGAAATGTACATAAAATATGTTATATGTGTAACTAGAATTCTATGCATTCAAGACTTCGAAGCTTCATATTGATAAGATTAAAATTGAAGATAAATATTGAGTTTAATCTAATGCCAGCTTCTTTTTCTAATCAAATTCAATAAACAAAAAGATCTTAAAAATACGTCATCAGTTTAAATAAAATATTAGACATACCCACTTATATAAACCTTTATCACCACATAACTACACAAAAACATTGTCTCTCTTTGCTTACCAATAGACAAACCTTAAAGCCACTTCTCATCAACGAGAAAGCACACACCAAAAAAACCTTTAAAAACCACTCATCAAAACACCTCAAACTCATTAGTATCTAATGGCACTCGTTAATGACCATTCCAACAAGCCTAACTACATCGCTAAACAAAACTCCTCATCCTCAGAAGATCTCTCTTCTCCGGAAAACTACGCATTGGATCAACCGGAGGCAGATTATGCCGGAGGAGGAGGAGGAGCTTCGGCTTCGAGCAGTAGCACGATGAATTCAGATCATCAACAAAACCAAGGGTTTGTATTTTACCCATCCGGTGAATCCGTTGAAGATCACAACTCTTTGATGGATTTTAACGGATCATCGTTTCTTAACTTCGACCACAACGAGCATCACGAGAGCTTCCCTCCTCCAGCCATAAGCTGTGGTGGCTTCTCTTTCTTGGAAGGCAACAACATGAACTACGGCTTCACAAATTGGAGTCAACATCATATGGATGCTATTAGCCCTAGACTTATGGAAACTCCGGGTGCAAACCAAGGCCACAAAGACTGGTTATACTCTGATTCAACTGTTGTGACCACTGGTTCTAGGCACGAGTCTATGTCGCCTAAATCCGCTGGAAACAAACGTTCTTTCACGGTAATTACAAACGTCTAAAGACTTCGTTAATATTTTTCAAATAAGAGATTATAGTTTAAATGATATATGTTATCATTGAATTATGGATAATAGGGCGATAGCATTCAGCCACCTTCAAAGAAACCGAACGGGAAGGCTAAGCCTAAGCCAACAACTTCACCTAAAGATCCACAAAGCCTAGCAGCCAAGGTTTGCTTTCTTGACGTTAAAATTTATTTAAAAAAAAAAATGTTTTCAGGCGTATACATGTATAAGTTTTTGGTACATAAATGCTCGATTAATCTTATAAAAGAAATAATTGGAGCAAAGAAACTCATTTTATCGATATGTTAACGGTTAACTCATACATTGGAATATGCTTTTTCGTTCAGAATCGAAGAGAAAGGATAAGTGAACGTCTCAAGATATTGCAAGAACTTGTACCTAATGGCACTAAGGTACACATCCATTTAAAACATTAATGCCAGATTTATATAACTAACTAAATTAACGGTATCGATGATAATTAATGATATGTACGTGTTATTTCTTGCAGGTTGATTTAGTGACGATGTTAGAGAAGGCTATTAGTTATGTCAAGTTTCTTCAAGTACAAGTTAAGGTATTAATTAAGATGACAAACATTCTTTAAAATTTATTTACAAGATTGATATATATCATTTATATAAACAGATTTAGTAAATTGTTAAGTAACATTGTTATAATCTAATGTTTGTTAGGTACTTGCGACCGATGAGTTTTGGCCGGCACAAGGAGGAAAAGCTCCAGACATTTCTCAAGTTAAAGACGCCATTGATGCCATCCTTTCCTCATCACAACGAGACAGGAATAAACCAATCACCAATTAATGAAGAGTTTAATCATTAATTAATTACTCAACATTAGTTACGTTGTAATAAGATCGGGAAGAACAATGATTCTCTCGATGACTTCCACGTAAATTTTAAAAATTCCGATCCGAAGACTATGTAACGTTAAATTATGTAAAAATCGAGAAGTTCTTAATGCATCCCTATCGAGGAGAAGACAGGAGACATTAAAATCACCGATGATCAGTTCGATAGTGGGTCCACACGAGGGTGTAATCTTAACTACTCCCTCCGTTTTTTATTATATGATATTTTAGAAATGTGCACAAAGATTAAAAAATTATTTATTTTTTTTATTTTTTAAAAATAAAATATATTTTTTTTGTCAATTCCAAAACAGTTTAACCAATAAAAAAATAAAATTCAAAATTAAAATAGTTAAAACAGTAAAAACACAATTATTTTTTGCATATAAACTTAAAAATGTCATATATTTTGGAATAAAAAATAAATAAAATATCATCTAATAAAAAAACAGAGGGAATAGTAGATAAATAATAAATAAACATAAATTTGTATCTTCTTTTTTTTGTATTTTGTGTGTTTAGGCTACGGAATACAGATCTTGTAATGGAATTTAAACTCCAAGAAATGAGTAATAAAACTCTGCACTTTTGGATTTTTCTTGAGCCTTCACTTTCAGAATCTATCTGTTTTGTCACCTTTCTAATCTATTTGAACTGTTGCTCGAGTGTTTATTGAGCAACTTGCTTATTTAGTTGTTTATTTCAAGTTCTCCAAATACATATAGTATTATAAAATGCATTTCCACATTTTCAGCTTGAATTATCAAAACATACGGTAAATATAACAACACAAATTTCGATGTGTAGATTAATATATTACATATAATAGCGATTACATAAAGGTTTTGATTGGCCTTAACAAGAAAGAGAAAAATCGAACATATTCAACAAAATTTGTTTACCTATTATTATGATGCTATAAACTAAATTTTTGATATATGACAATTCATTAAAGTACGTACATTTTAAATAGTTTCATAAAAGTTTATGCTAATGCTAGTCTGTGGACTTTACAATACCTCAGAAATTAATTAAGAGTTTACAAATTAACAGCTATCATATACAAGTCTCTAAGTTCAAAGTTTAGTGTTAAAAGTAGAGAGGCTATATATATATATATATATATATATATATATATATTGATATCTAAATATATTACATAAATATTTAAAATAATATCGTTTTTCTTTATAAAAACTCAAGTTTGATCTACGAAAGAACTAGGTTTGTGGGTTTAAAAAGAGATCTTTATTAGAATTGAGACGGAGCTTGAGAGGTACAAGATAGTTTTAGGTCGTCGGAATAAGAACGTCGACCTAAACTTTTAAGGAAAGTAAATCAAGAGCTAAGAACAATTAGATTGCTTAATCTGTTTTAGGTTTCGAGGAGTGATTTTCGGATGGGTTGTAGAGTCGAGGACTTCCTACATTTATAGCCGATCAGGTCGGTCTTCAATCTGCTTGGAATAGGAAACTCTTGTCGGCAAGGAGTTTCCTTTTTCCCGGGGTGGATTGGTAAATGGAAGATTTCTTTTTATGTTACCGACCTGGAACTTGTTAGACGGACCGACCAGAATTCGTATCGGATTTGTTAGAGACGGTACGGATCTCATCTCTAACAGTAAGTCCCCTTCTAGTTCGGCAAGTGAGGGTGTATTACTTGGTGAACTTCATGATATATTGCTTGATATGTATTCTGGTCGGCTATAAAAAAGAGTTAGAATAAAAATGAAATTATTACCTAGACTTCTGATCGGCGCGGTGATGAGAGCCAGATTGTGATTTTGGGCGCGAAAAGTGCCCGCCTAAAAATGATGTAGGTTAGACCCATGCCCACGTATGCAGAACTAGGGTTGACACGTGTCAAACCCTAGCAGAAGGGGGCGAAGGGGCCGATTAAAAAAAAATATGTAGAAGAAATATGAAAGGTCGCCGAGCTCATGATGACTCTCGATAACCGTCCAGGCCCTCCTATAAATAAGAGGACTTCGACTCTCATTTTTTCACTTCTGTATTTCTAGCGAAACTCTGTCAAAATCAGGTTTGCTCTCTTTTCTCTCCTTATTCTTCGTTTATTTTAGCTAAAAAATTTTCCGATCAGACCTCCGCCGCGTTTCGTTCGTTCTCAGCCGCTTGATTTCTCCGATTTGCGAAAACCGTCGTGATAGTCAGATATGAGCAAGTGTGTGAAGATCTGCGAGAGCCGACCAGAGTCGAGAGTGGTCGTATCAGCTAAGGAGAAAGCCGACGAGATCGGTATTTCTCTAGAAGAGTTTCTTCAGATGGAGAAAGATGACCGGGCCGCGAGAGGCCGATCAAATGGAAAAGAGATCGCGAACAATGTAGCGTCAGATCGGTCCTCTGATGCTAGCGAGTTATCCGCGTTAGATCGAGCTTTTCAGGAGCGAGTTAGAGAGGAAAATCAGAGGGCAGCAGCCGAGCGTTTCCATGCGGGTCAGGTCGGTGCTGATTTGAGGGGCGGTGAAGCGTCGACGAGGGAACCGTTCCTGATCCCCGAACTGCGAGATGAGTCGGACGAGAGGGGTGGATCGAACGAGATGGACATCTCCGACGAGCTGAATACACTCATTGCTGAAGATGAAGCGAATCAGTTCGGGATTGTCGATTTGAATCCCCCTGTTAAAAAGGTCAAGAGGAAGAAAGGCGAGCCAAAACCGAAGCCGACTTGTGATAATCTCCTTAGGGTATTGCCAATAAAATCGACTATGGAGTCTTTGGTAACACTGAAGGAAGAGTGTGACATCGGCCCTGAAGTCATTTTTATGATACCGAGCCCGTCAGAACGGCCATGGGACGCTCCGGAGGGATGGTTCTGTGTCTATGAATGCTTTTTCAGAGATTTTCATATCTGGTTCCCTCTTTCAAGACTGTTGTTGGAATTTGTCGATCACAAGGAGATGCCGATCTTGCAATTCTCTCATTCGATAATCCGTCTGATCGTTAGCATGCTGGTGATGTCGAACAGGCATAACATTCCTCTTAGCCGGGCTGCTTTTGACGCGATGACGAATACCAGGAGGACAAAGGAAAATTTAAGGAACTGAGGATCATACGATACGAGCATGAAGACCCGGTTCAATATAGTCACGGGTGGGCACAAATCGAAGGTCAATGATTGGAGGGATTATTATTTCTTCGTGCTGGTGAACGAGCATTCCATTATTGACCGAGACATCGAGATTCGAACGAAATGGGCGGAGGTCATGGGTAGAGACACGTCCGACCTAAAGAATTGTTTAAGATCACGTTGTGAACTTATCTGATCGGTATCTTTAATTTTACAGGTAATAGGCATCTTCCATTTGTTGACGATCCCCTCGATATTTACAAGATTTCCGAACGATTTGCGGCGATCAGCGCAATCACCTGGCCGGAGATTACGGAAGAGAGGATCGAAAGGACAAGAGGTTGGTTCAACTTGTTTTGCTTATCCTTGTGAGTTATAAGGTCGGCTGACACTTTTCCAATTGCAGTTGCTCTACTTAGACACCAGAATCGGACTGACAAGATGAAATCTCGCCCACTCAAAGATTTATCTGCCGACCAAGAGATGATGTTTGAATCTCCGGGTGCCAAAGAGGCCCAAAATCCTCCGCCGTCAGGGTCTTTAGAACAGTACGGGAATCCGGTCGTTCCAGAGGGTGATCTGGCCAAGGCCAAAGCGGCTGCCGACAAAAGGGATAAAGATTCGGCCAAGGCAAAGAAGTCGGCCGATAAGAGAGCTGCCAGGAAGGCAGAGAAGGCCCGGAAGAAGGCTGAACTGAAAGAGTCTGCAGGTGAAGATGGGCAGAATGCGGACAATGCTCCTGAGGATTTGCAACGGTCGAAGAGACCTCGGATTGATCGACAGCTTCATCGGTTTGGATTTTCCTATGACTATCGAGGGAATAGTCCATTGGTGAGCGATTCGGAATCCTGTCTCAACTATTTTCTCCGTTTGAGGGATCATCCGGATCTTCCTGCGACGTACCCTCAGAGCTTTATTCGCAGCGAGGCAATCGCGCGCTTTTCTAACGATCAGGCTAGGGTAAATTTCTCTTACTGCCCTCTTCTGTTTCCCTCATATTATCGGTTCTGATGAGATTTACGGATGCAGGCTCTGAGTACCGTACTGACGACGTTATGTGAGTACGATCGTGACGCCAAAAGGTGTCAATCCGATCATGCGGAGATCGAAGCCATGAAGGAGGCCCTTGAGGCTGAAAGACAAAAGAATGTTGAGCTCGAGGGCGCGATGCGGGCATCTGCTGAAGATTTGGCGAAGCTCCGTGCTGATAACGTCGAAAAGAACAGGCTGCTGAACCGAGCGGTGAAGCAGATTACAAAGGAGAGGGCCGACGCCGAGAAGAAGTTTGAGGCCGAGCGCAAAGCGGCTGAAGAAGCAAAATTTGCCTTCGGTCAAGAGGCGGCTAAGCGCGTGGCTGTTGCTGTGAATAACCACTATGCCGGTCTGGTGACGAAGGTGAAGGAATCGCTTTCTCGCAAGGAGAAAGGCGAAGAACTTATTTCAACTGCGGCTCAATGGGCCGGTGCGAAAAAGGCCCTTGAAATCGTCCGTAGGCAGGGTTACTCTTTCCCGATTTCGATTGAGGAAAATGTGGAAAGAATGGTTGCGGATAGCAAGGCGGAGCAGGATGCCTTTGAAGAAGTTAGCTTCACGTCTGATGAGCTTAAAGTTCCAGAGCCGGAGATTTTTTTCGAGGTTTCGAGTGGTGTTTTGTTAGAGGGGACCGACGTGGAAGATGACCCAGAAGCCGATAGGGACGGCATAGAAGATGGGCGACATGCAAGAGAAGGCGAAGACACCGAGCTGGGTGACGGTCACGAGGCCGACAAGGAAGAGGGAGAAATTCAGGAAGAAACTGAAGTTTAGCTTTCCCTTTTTCTTGTTTGTAATCTATCGTGTACCCTGATGTATTTTTTTGTGCCGTTCTGGCTTTAATTTTAATGAAAGTTTTTAAGAAACTGAGCATTTTTTATGAGTCAAAAATCTGAACACAACGACGATGCGATATCGGCTTAAGTTTGTGCGATTTAAATTTCTAAGTATTAAACGAACAAACGAATTAGATCGGCATGAATTCGATACTTAGAAATTTTCTTAAGTCGAATACGAACTGCTATCAGGTCGGCTTACATATTCCGCATGGCTTAAGAATTACAGTGCGGGTTCTGGCTTGTATATTGAAGTGTGAATACGAACGTGCGGGAGGCCCGA